GTCACATGAGCTGCTTAAAATACCCCAGCTTGTTTGTTCTGAAGGACATGTAGCCATCTGTTTTCAGTATCTCCAGGGTCCCTCAAAGTGAATTTCTGAGATAACGTATTTTCTTTCACATTATCTTAAACATTACTTTCTAAATGTCATAATTTTGCATGATGTGATAACAGAATTTTAATTTTATTTTTAGACATTACCTGAGCTAACTCATTTAAACTTCACACAACCCTTTAAGTAACTTATAAATGGAACTTCAAATATTTTAAGTTAATGAATGTCACACAGCTGTCCAGGCAGAGGTAGGAGTCTAACCCAAAGTCTACAGAACTTAAACATTTATGCTTTTTTTTTTATCCAACCAATATTTGAATGGCTTTTGAGATTATTCATGGGAGATAAGAATTAATGCAATGAGATTTTATGTATATTAATATATCTTTTATTTTTTATTTACGTTTGCAGACTAGTTCTGGAGTACAGGAGAGGTTTGTGAACTATACCAAGTATATATATAAATTTTTGGCTCAGGGATTGCTCCAGGCCCCGCTTCCTTGCCAGTAGTTTTGGAACTTTACTCTTGTTATTTTCTTTTAACATCCTTCCTGTTTATATAAATTTTGGATTGTCTGTATTTGGCCTTGACCTGGTATGCCCTTGAGACTCTGCTTCTCATATAGATTGCACTGCTGCAAGCATTGAGGCTACACTGAGATATTCCTTTTATTCTCAGTGTTTATATCTGGTGAATGATTTCTAATACTATACCTAAGCAAAGTAGAAGTGGGGTTTTATGTGTAAATATCACTAATTACTTGATCAAGGTTTTGCCTAGTAGAATAGTTTCATATTCTCTTGGAGCATAGCACATCTTTTTTTTTTTCTTCAGATTCATTTATTTATTTGTAGTATATAAATTTTTTTTTAATTTTCTATTATATTTTTCAAAACTGTGAGAAAGAAAAAGTTACCTCAATTCAAATTCAAGTATGACATTTATTTGTAAAAAACAAACAAACATGAAAATAATAAAAAAATGAAACATTACTTTGCACAGGGAGAAAGAAATGTTTATAACATGTTATTAAGTTTAAAAACAAGCTACAAACTTTAGACAGTAAAAACTAAAATAAAAAACAAGCTACAAAATGATATGGCAGTCTATTTTGTGGTCTGATACACAAAATATACTTGCTGCAGAAAACTTGGATTACAAAAAAATTTCTTCTTACTATAAAAACACAACTAACACACATCCCTTCTAATCCTACCTCTTAAGGATGACCTGTTAACTTTATAGTATATGTTCTTAATATTCTTTTTTTAATCCCTCATTGATCCTCTTCCTCTCCACCCCACAATCCAGCTCACTGCCCCCTGCTGCCCAGGCCTTCACTGCACTATTGTCTGTGTATAGTGTATATTCTTTCATTTTTCTTTGTCTCTCTGTGTGTGTGTGTCTGTAAAAGTTACATCTCCACATAGATACATCTAGCTAGATGGGTAAAGGTCTTCTTAAAGCAAAAGATTGACAAACCTGACTTCATAAAATCTTTAAAATTCAGTAAAATACAGAATACTATAAGAAAAGTTTTTAATGCAGTGACAATTTGGAAAAAATATTTGCAACACATCTATTAGTCAGATGCAGGGAATAACTTAAGTTTTTGTATATTATTAATTAGTACCACCATCCCATTTATCACATCATATAAGTCAAGAACTTTAATGAGCTTAAACACCTTTTTTACCCTCACTTCTATTCATCTGATCTTCCAGTATCTCCTAGTTATCTCTGGAATTCATCCATTTCCTCCATCAAATTCAAGCTTCCAACATAATTGTTTTATACCACAACTATAGCTATTTAACTGGTCTGCCTGCTCTCATTCTTTCTCCATTCTAGTTTATCTTTCATACTGCACAAAATGATCTTTTTGAAATACATTCCTGATAATGTAAGCAAAAATAAACGTTCACTGACTTCGGTGTGTGTGTTTATGTTTATCAGAGACAGAAATATATAGAGAGTGATCAGTTATTTCAGTTACTCAGGAAAAAAAGACCTGCCCCCTGTCTAGCCATACACACTTCCTGTTGTTGGGTTTTGGTGCCTTTTATTTTCTGTTCCTGGAACACACTCTTTCAGTTATCTTTGTTAGTATCTACATATTCTTCAGAGAATACTTTTCGAACCTGACCAAATCAAGTTGTTATTCACTGCTAGATACAACAAAATTCTCTGTCATAGACTTATCACAATTTTACATTTATTGGGGTGATTCATCTAACTCTTTTACTAGACTGTAGGCTCTTTGAGAGAAGGACCATGTTTGTTTATGTTTACAGTTGTATTGCTGGCATGTAATGTAGTGCTAGATACATTCTAGACACCTGTTTTAGTCAGCTTTGGCTGCTATAACAAAATACCATAGACTAGGTAACTTAAACAGCAGGCATTTGGTTCTCACAGTTTGGGAGACTATGGAGTCCAAGATGCTGGCCCTTGTGAGGGCCCTTTTCCTGCCTTGCAGATGGTCATCTTGCTGTGTCCTCAGGCACAGAGGTTGTAAACTCGAGTGTCTTCCTCTTCTATAAGGAAGCTAATACCATCATGGGTGCTCCACCTTCATGACCTCATCTAAACCTAATTACCTAATAACGTCACATTGAATTTTGGCAGGGACACAAACATTGAGTCCATAACAGCACCCCATAAGTATTTGTTGAATTACCACATAAGAAATACAAGCAAAAGATGTAAATAAGAAATTCACAAAAGGAGAAAATACAAATGCCAGTAAACATTAAAATATTTTCAAACTCGTGTAATCAGAAAAGATGTTAAAACAATGATAAGATGTTTCATGCCCATCATGTTGAGGAAATTTTAAAAGATTGTTAATGTCAAGTGTTCATTTTAAAACATGTCCATTAGCTGGACGCTATCAAGTAGAAGTATCAACCAGCCATACTGTAGAATATTTTCAGCTATTAGAAGGGAAGCATTGCACTCCAGTGCATTTATTTTTTAAAAAAATATAGTTTATTGATTTTTTACAGAGAGGAAGGAAGAGAGATAGAGAGTTTGAAACATTGATGAGAGAGAAACATCAATCAGCTGCCTCTTGCACAACCCCTCCTGGGGATGTGCCCACAACCAAGGTACAATGCCCTTGACCGGAATCAAACGTGGGACCCTTCAGTCCGCAGGCCAACGTTCTATCCACTGAACCAAACTGGTTAGTGCATTCCAGTGCATTTAAAATAATCTCATTAATTTTTGTTTTACAAAAGGAGCCTCCAAATGACTATGCATATATGTTTATATACCGACATCTAAATTCAGAGCAAAGGTACTGGAAAGATATTTGCCATGCTGTTAGTAGTGTTTTTCTCTGGGAAGAGATCATGATAGTAGAAGAAGAGGTTTAAGGAAGGTCTTTCCTTTTTCTTTTTAACTCTGTGGACTTTTTATGTAGTCAGTCAAAAAGAAAAAGAAAAATAACCACAAGTTGAGTTGTTTAGGGGCATAGGGAAAAACTGCCCATTCTTTACATATAGAAAAGGAAAATCAGGGATGCCAAAAGAGCATGGTTTAACCTGGAACTACAAGCAGTTCCATATTGTTGGAGCTTAAAGTGTGATACAGGAAAGAAGAATGAGGCTGAAAAGAATATAAAACTAGATTATTGAGGGTCATGTGTGTTTCTCCTACTGATGGTACAACCATTCAAAAATGTTTTAGTGTTGGGAATTGACATTGGTTATTTATAATAATAAAAGGGTAATATGCTAATTAGACCAGATGTCTTCCGGACATCCTTCCTGACGAAACCGGGACCGGAGGAAAGCCAGCTCGAGTCCTGGGTACCTGCCGGAGGGAAGCCGGTGCCAGCAGCCGGGGGAAGGAAGGCCTACTCTTGCATGAATTTTCGTGCATCGGGCCTCTAGTGTTACATAGATTCTAGGAGATGTGCAGTTAACACATGAAAGTGATTGAGAACCTTTGTATCTGGATCCCTTTTGGCAGGTTTGATGAGTCCTGTGGATACTTTCTGAGGATTGTGCTTTGGGTGCATTAAATACAAACTACAGTGAAAACCAATTATCTTGAATTTCATTTATCAAAGTATTAAAAAACACATTTGTGGTATAGTTACATATGTGCTTCTTTAGTAACATAATAAATAAAAAGGTCTAATGGTGGTCTAATGACTATTTTAATTTCAAAATAGTGGTGAGCATAAATAATATTTTAAGATATCTGTGTCAGTGAAATGGTCTTTTGAATTCCGTCCATGGACCCCAAGTTAAGAACTATTGCTTATAGCACAAGACTGGGAGCATGGAGATCAGTTAGGAAACCAGTCAGTATGGAGATAATGAAAAACCTTAGTGGAGACAGTTTGAAATGATCCCATGTAAGACTTTCTAATTATTACCAGTTGCTCAGTTGGTTGAAGTGTCAGACCATATGCCAAAAGGGTTGCTGGTCAATTGTCAGGGCACATGACTAGGTTGCAGGTTTACTCTCCAGTCTGGGTGCATATGGGAGGCAACCATTCAGTCTCTCTCTCTCTCTCTCTCTCTCTCTCTCTTCCTCTCTAAAATCAGCATTTTTTATACAATGTATGTACATTATAGAAAAATTAAGAAATATAAAAAAAAGAAAATATGCTCTACTGTAGTTTTTTAGAACTGAATACATATCCTGTTTTTTGGCTTTTTGGTGCGTTAAGATATGTTGATATGTTATTGATTTTTAGAAGTGAGGAAGGGAGATGATGATAGATAGATAGATAGATAGATAGATAGATAGACAGACAGACAGACATCTTTCAGTTACCTCCTGCATGCCCCCTACCAGAAATTGAGCCTGCCACACTGGTTAGGGCCCTATTGGTTTTTATGGCTGCTCTTACATAGTTTTCCTCATTGTTATGTATTTAATCTTATTTCAATATCATTGCTTAACCATCTTACCTTTGATTTTACAGGTTTTTGATTGGTCATGGAGCACATGTAGGAGCTGTCAACAGTGAAGGTGACACGCCTTTAGATATTGCTGAGGAGGAGGCAATGGAAGAGCTACTTCAAAATGAAGTTAATCGGCAAGGTAGTGTAAAAGCAGTCTAAATGGAAAATAATTATTTACAACTGTTTTAGAAAGAACATGATACATCTTTAGTAAAATAATTGTTGGCATTGAAAGACAATTATAATTTGGAGGGAGGAGTCAGCTTACCTAATGTGCAGTATGATTCTATTTGAAAAATACATGTTTCTCAGCTCTATATCTTAATATTTTTAAGTTGAAAGAGGTATCGTAAGTGGTGGAATCAGGCATAAAATTATATGCTATTAAGAGCTTTGGAGAGAAATAAAACAGGCAAAAAGGGTAAGATGTACATAGGATGAATGTGACACATTGTAAATATAAATAAAGCAGTCAAGAAGTTCTCACTGATAAGGTGGTATTTAAGCTAAAATCTGAATGAGGTGAGGACTGAATTATGTGGTTATGGGGAAAGAACATTCCAGACATGGAGAACAACCAATGCAAAGATAGGAGGGTACCTGGTGTATTCAGAGAAGCAGCAAGTAGACCAGTGTGACTGGAACAGGCAGAACAAGGAAGGAGCTGGAAGGAGATGACGACACAGAAGTAACAGTGAGCCACATTACATAAGGAAATTGGTTTACACAACAATATAAATGTACTTAACACTACTTAGCTCTATACTTCAAAATGGTTATTGAAGATGGCAAATTTTACATTCTGTGTATTTTACTACAATTAAAATTGTAAATATATATAAATCATATATAGTGATTCCCACTATATGTCATTGTGGCAATGATTAAATGGGTATTATCAGAAGAGAAATGTGTTTTACTAAGGTTAAAGGATAAAGAAAATGTATGAATATTGGTTTAGAGCAACGGTTCTCAACCTGTGGGTCGCGACCCCTTTGGGGGTCGAACAACCCTTTCACAGGGTTCGTCTAAGACCATCAGAAAACACATATATAATTACATATTGTTTTTGTGATTAATCACTATGCTTTAATTATGTTCAATTTGTAACAATGAAAATACACCCTGCATATCAGATATTTACATTACGATTCATAACAGTAGCAAAATTACAGTTATGAAGTAGCAACGAAAATAATTTTATGGTTGGGGGTCACCACAACATGAGGAACTGTATTAAAGGGTCACGGCATTAGGAAGGTTGAGAACCACTGGTTTAGAGGGTTGACTGCTGCTGAAATGTGATTCATCAGGAAATAGGGTTAAAGGCATAGAAGCTAAACCAGTTCCTTGAAAAGAGATTTTTATTCCTTGGGATTAGGAGAATTCCTAATGTCTTCTCAGTTGTTCCTGGGAAAGAGATTTTTATTCCTTGGGATTAAGGAAATGCATAATGACTATTCAGTTGTTTAAAAAGAAAAATCTTAGGCACTGAAACTGAGAAAATATTTAAATGCCTAAATAGAATTGAGGCATTATAACAAGTGGTTGAAGATAATAGGAGAATAGGACACACATTAGAAAAGTTGTCTTAAACTGAAGCTTGAATAAGTACACAGAAGAGCTTTTAACAACTAGGCTCTAGGCAGGCATTTTGGAGTAATGGGATCTTCAAGACTTGAAGAGCTGGAAGTATATAACACATCACAAGCTAAAAAGAAGGGTACCTTATCTGCCATCTTGCCCTGATGAGTGCCCAGATATCTAACAGTTTCCTGGAAAACTGGTTAAAATAAATCTTTTTATACTGTCTAATATTAGCAATTATTATGAACTAAGAAAGGTATGGAGATATACTGAAAACCTCTTGCCTTTGGTTCCCTTTTATATAAGGGAAACTGTTAGCAATGCTGATTTTAATTGTAATGATTCATTCAGTATTGATTAATGTGCCAGCAGATGTTCTGAGTGCTGGGTATTGAAGAAGGAAAAAAAAAGGCAATCTTTTTTCTTAAGAATTTCACAGTGGCAAATATATAATGAGCTTCACAGTGAAGTGTGCTATTTGTAAAATATAGATAGAAACAGAATGTTGTGGGAGAACAGAAAAGGCTGTGACTAACTGTAGTGGTCAGGAAAGGTTTCAGAACAGTGACATTTGAGAAAGAGTTTGCTTGGCAGAGAAGAGAGGCAATGGACAGAAAAGACATGTCAGGCAGAGCTACCAATATATGCAAAGAAAAGGAATTGGAGATATAGCATATGTGGAGAATTCATTAGAATTGTAATGGAGATAGAACGTCAGGATGGGATTAGTAAGAGCTGGAGGTAAGCCCGAAAAAGATAGGGCTCAAGCCGGATGGTGAGGATATATATTTGGTAGGCATAAACAGATGCAACACAGACCTCAGCAAAAAATTAACCTGATTGGATTTGGTTTTTAGTAATAAAGCTGATGGCAATGAATTAAAATGGGGGGGTGAAGAAGGCTCTTAAATATTACAGATGATAAGGGCCCAAATTATTACATTTAAGATGGGAAAGTAGGGCTGTCTTGAGAAAAATATTAAGGTAAAATTAAAACAGTTTGGTGAAGAATTGAATGTGGAGATAGAAAAAAATCATTTGCTTACTGAAGTTTCCAGTGTAAGAAGTGATGGCTCAAATTTATATGGGAAAATGTGGGATGAAACAGAAGATTTATGAGTTTGTTTTGGGACATACTGAGTTTGTGGTGGCTAAAGCATTTCTAGAGGACAGTGTCTGGTGTACTATTGGAACTTGGAGATGTCAGAGTGGAAAATGTAAATCTGGGAGAATAATACATGAGAGAGAATTCCGGGAAATAGTGGATGAATGACCCTGGAACTGAAAAGGGAAGAACTAATACTAATAATAGTAGCTAACTCTGTGTGTGTGTGTGTGTTTGACATTTTAAATATATTTTTATTGTTGATAGTATTACAGGTATCTCCCAGGTTCCCACCCTTTGCCCCCCTCCTCCCAGCCCATACTGCCCCCTCAAGTCTTCACTACCCTATTGACCATGTCCATGGTCTATGCATATAAGTTCTTTATTTTATCTCTTCTCATCCCCCCGACCCCAAATCAGTCTGTTCCGTGCCTCCCTGCGTCAGGTCTTATTTTGTTGGTCAATTCATTTTGTTCATTAGATTCCACAAATAAGTGAGATCATGTGATACTTGTCTTTCTCAGTTTGGCTTATTTCACTTAGCATAATATTTTCCAGGTCCATCCATGCTGTCTCAAAGGGTAAGGTATCCATCTTTGTTTACAGCTGCATAGTATTCCATAATGTAAGTGTCCCATAGCTTTTTTATCCACTCATCTGATGGGCAATTGAGCTGTTACCAAATCTTAGCTATTGTAAATAACATTACTATGAACATAGGGGTGCATATACTCTTTCTGATTGGTGTTTCGGTTTTTTAGGATATATTCCCAGAAGGGATCACTGGGTCAAATGGAAGTTCCATTTTTAATTTTTTGAGGAAACTCCATACTGTTTTTCATAGTGGCAGTACCTATCTGCATTCCCATCAGCAGCAGTGAATTAGTGTTCCTTTTTCTCCACATCCTCGTCAGCACTTGTTGTTTGTTGATATATTTTTATTGACTTCAGAGAGGAAAGGAGAGGGAGAGATAGAAACATCCATGATGAGAGAGAATCATTGATCAATGGCCTCCTGCACGCCCCCCACTAGGGATCGAGCCCACAACCCACGCTTGTGCCCTTGACCAGAATCAAACCTGGGACCCTTCAGTCCGCAGGCCAACACTCTATCCCAGGGGTGGGCAAACTTTTTGACTCGAGGGCCACAATGGGTTCTTAAACTGGACCGGAGGGCCGGAACAAAAGCATGGATGGAGTGTTTGTGTGAACTAATATGAATTCAAAGTAAACATCTGTACATAAAAGGGTACGATCTTTTTTTTCAATAGTTTTATTCATTTCAAACGGGCCGGATCCGGCCCGCGGTCCGTAGTTTGCCCATGGCTGCTCTATCCACTGAGCCAAACCAGCTAGGGCTGTTTGTTGATTTTTTGATGATAGCCATTCTGACAGTTGTGAGGTAATATCTTATTGTGGTTTCAATTTGCATTTCTCTGATGATTAGTTACTTGGAGCATTTTTTTCTAGTGTCTCTTGGCCATTTGTATGTACTCTTTGGAGAAATGTCTATTCAGGTCTTCTGCCCATTTTTTAATTGAATTGTTTGTCTTTTTGTTGAGTTGTATGAATACTTTATATATTTTAGATATTAACTCCTTATCAGATGTATCATTGGCAAATATGTTCGCCTATTCAGTGGGTTCCCTTTTTAATTTGATGGTGGTTTCTTTTGCTGTGCCGAAGCTTTTTATTTTGATGTAGTCCCATTTGTTTCTTTTCTCCTTAGTTTCCTTTGCCCTAGGACAGTGGTCGGCAAACTCATTAGTCAACAGAGCCAAATACAAACAGTACAACGATTGAAATTTCTTTTGAGAGCCAAATTTTAAAAAACTTAAACTATATAGGTAGGCACATTGTTATTAACCTACCTATATAGTTTAACTACTGTTGATATTTGGCGCCTCCCCACGTTGCATATCCCGTTGCCCGCCCGACCCACTGACAGACACCCCCCACTTCTTCTAACGCCACTTCTTCAAAATAGACTTGCCCAGGCCAAAAACCGACTTCTGCGCATGGGCCACGAAGTTTCAATCGCACTGTATGTGCGCACCCGCACGTGTACTTTGTGAAAGAGCCACACTCAAGGGGCCAAAGAGGCACATGTGGATTGCAAGCCGCGGTTTGCCTACCACTGCCCTAGGAGATGTATCTGTGAATATATCGCTATGTGAAATGTCAGATTTTACTGCCTATGTTCTCCTGTAAGATTTTTATGGTTTCATGCCTTACATTTAAGTCTTTTATCCACCTTGAATTTATTCTTGTGTATGGTGTCAGTTGGTGGTCTAGTTTCATCTTTTTGTATATGTCTGTCCAGTTTTCCCAGCACCATTTGTTAAAGAGACTGTCTTTACTCCATAGTAGCTAACTCTTATTAAATGTTGGTTATATGCCAGACATTAAGCAAAGGGCTTTGTGTACATTATTTCATTTCATTTCAG